ACGCACCCACGAAGGACTGACGCTGCTGTCCATACTCTGGATATCCTGCAGGGTGTTGTGTACATCGCTGTTGGGAGGTGTCAGTTGCTCATTTCCTGCAGGGGAAGTACTGCTCAGTGGATCCTGTGGGAGACCCTGGCTGTCTGTTTCTTCCCCTGATGGCCCAGGAGGCAGAGGTGGAGGTGGAGGTGGAGGAAGCTGAGAAATTACGGGTGGCACCTCAGGTTTCCCATCTTCTTTGGCAAGAACCCTCATCGCGTCGTCGATCTGCTTCAGCCATAAATCAGTTCTCGCAACAGCATCTTCGGCATGTTTAGCAGCCTCGATCGCAGCAGCAGGCACCAGTGCCGCATCATTGACTGCATTCTTTGCGAAATTCTCAGCTTCTTTGGCAAGAGTAACTATTTCCTTAGGCGTATTTGATGAACCACTGTTATTTTTCATTTCATTGAGAAGAATGAGAGCTAGGTCAGCCCTATTTAACGCTAAGTAAGCGTTCGTTCCCTGCGACGCGGCAATTTTTGCCTTTTCAGCGCTACTGTCGACGTGTGAAAGTGCCGTCAGCACTTCTGATGGCTTTCCAAATGCCTTGTGTGCCAGCTTCGCTTCGTTGCTGATATCTTCAACCCCGCTGGCCGTTGCACTGTCCGCCATCCCCTGCGCTTCCGTGAACAACTCCTTTGCCCAAGTCGTTGCTTCCCCTGCTTCCTTAACCTTCTGCACGATTAAAGCAACGGATGCGTGAGAAGTGTTCGTCGTGGCCTTTGCGGAATTCGCCAAGCCGACCAACTCAGCAATAATCTCCTGCTGAATATTACCAGTCTTGCCCTCCACCTTCTCATTTAACTTGGAAGCTGCCAGTGACGCCGTTCTTGCTTCAGTTTCGAATTGCTTCGTTGCACTCTTTACAGCATCCACCTTACTCTTGGCCGCATTCACCGCTTCCTTGGCCTCAACTGCCTTCTCCCTCGCCTTCTGCAGGGCAAGAATCACTTGCTCCTCGTCACCGATGCCCTCAGCAGTGGTCGCTGCACAGCCACACACGCAGCACAGCACGACGGCCACCACAAACAACGCGGGACGCCCCACCGCC